CCAGATCGAATCACTATCAGCCGCTAAAATTAAGGACAAAGTCGGAGAAAGTTGGATTAAGAAATAGACCAAGTCTCCTCAACTTATGCACCACACCAAATATAAAGCAATGTTTGACCGTTGAACGGTTGACTCATCATAACCCCTCAATCCCTATTCCCAATAGACTTCTTGATCAAGACATTCAACACTATATATAGAAACTTCGTATGAGCTATTCATAAATCTTAACCCAAAGTTTTTATTCACATAAATAGCTAGACTAGAGCTAATATTAAGGAGATCATTCAGATCAAGATATAAGCAAATTCTATACACAGGATATAATAAAGGAAAAATGAACTGTGCTGTTGTAGTACCAACTGTTACTCATAGTGGTAATACGAGTAATATTTACAACCATCACGCTAACCCCATATCACCTAATTTGATGGTAAGGTTTCAACAGTTGGAAGGGCAAGTAAGAAATCATCATCATCATAATGAATTGCCGTTGATGAAGAGGAAAAGACCGGCGAGGATTAACGTTCCGATTGTTACATTGATGGAAAATAATGTTGTGAGTACACCTAGAGATCGTGTTGAGGAGATTGAAGTTGAAGAGGAGGGGTATGGAGTTTGTAGTAAGAGAGGAAAATCAAGGGCTCATTTGGAGGACCGTTATTCGGCTCGTGTTAATGATGTACATGGTTGCCCTTTACAGGTAATTTTTGCGTTCAAGATGTTATTAGTAACATTGTTGATGGGATGATACACACCAATATACTAGTATTATTCATAGTATATGTTATAATTTAGGAAATGTTATGGTTGTCCTTCATTCTATAAAAAAATAATTATGGACATGATAGGTCTATAATATTTCAAAAGTTCACCTAATGGTTGATAGTATTAGATAAATAATGCTTGGTTGATAGTGTTAGAATAAATAATGCTTGGTTGCTAAATGTTGCAATATGAAACAATCAAATCTTAGAACTTAGAAGTATACATTTTATATATGGAATTATTATATGTTGTGTAAAATAAATAAAAATTACGGTGGCCAACAAATTCTTTTGCTCATGATCGTTATTTTTGATCAATTGCAGGCATTCTTTGGAGTATTTGATGGACATGGCGGTCCAAAAGCTGCCGAGTTTGCAGCAGCAAGGCTAGGTGACAAAATATTAGACCATGTAGGACGAGTTACTGGAGCCAAATCTAGCAAACTGATTGAAGAGAGTATCAGAGATGGTTATCTAGCTGCTGACCAGGAGTTTCTTAACGAAAAATCAAACGGTGGTGCTTGTTGTGTAACTGCATTGATTCAAGAGGGTAACCTTATGGTCTCTAATGTTGGTGATTGTCGTGCTGTTATTAGCAGGGGTGGCCTTGCGGAGGCACTGACTACTGATCAAAGCCCTTCAAGAGAAGACGAGAAAACTAGGATCGAATCCAAGGTATGACAACCTATATATGATTATACGAAGTACATTTTTGTTAATTATAAAAAAAATGTGACAAGAAATTATTATATGACCATGGCTTACACAATAACACAAAACACGCATTTGTACATGTGTAACTCATATGACACGGACTTATAAGTTGTAATGTTATTTTACACAGGGTGGATACGTTGATTTTTGCAACGGAACATGGAGAATACAAGGTTCTCTTGCAGTGTCAAGAGCAATAGGAGACCAACATCTCAAGCAATGGGTCACAGCCGAACCTGAAACAAAAATCCTAACCATTAAACCCGATTTCGAGTTCCTAATCTTGGCTTCAGACGGCCTATGGAACAAGGTTAGCAATCAGGAAGCGGTAGACGTGGTTCTTCCCTTTTTTACAGCAGGGAGTAATAAGCCAGAGTTAAAGCATGCTTGTAGAAAGCTAGTGGAGTTGTCAACAAGTAGGGGATCTAACGATGATACAACTGTAATGGTGATTCAACTAGACAAATTTGCTCTTTAATCTAGCTGATTATACAGGATTATAACCTTTTTTTGGCTTTAGATGTATATATAAGGTATATAATTTGATTTGTATCAGTTAATTATCACTAAGCTAGCTTAGTGCATAGTGCATAGGCAGGGTCACAGGGGTAGATAGCTAGCCATGAAAATATATAGTAGCAAATTTCCTTCCATTTTGTTTCCTTGTATATTCGAGTTGTTTGTAAGATAGAAATTTAGTTTTAAAACCCTAATTCTATTAATTTAATCATATACTTTTCTATTATACTTCGTATATTATTAGAATGTATCCATGTTAATGCACGGGATATATTTAACTTACAAAGCAAAATAATGATAGTTATTATCATTATTATTTTAAAGAAAGAGGAATGCTACATTATTATGCTAATGAATACTAAGGTAGGGTTTGGGGGTTGTGAATCTTGTGATGAAAGGGATGAAATTTGACATTTCTTGCTCATGAATTTTCAAGCCTTAAGTACTTGCAAAATCCTATAAAATGAGCACTAAAAGTCTGAAACGTCTAGAATATGCACATTGGAGTTCTTCGTTAGATGATGTATCGAGTGAGGGATGCTTTTACTCCGTAGTATATTACATGTTTAACTCCAATTGAGAACTACAAGTAATTACTTCTAAAGCTTATTCCAAATCGTTTGCCGCCCTCTTATTCGTCATAAACTAGCAAATTTAAATCAAAATTAAGTTTCATTATCATTCGAGTGAACCTTATATATATATACAAATAATTATTTTCAAAATGTAACATAGCTTTGGCAATTAAGTTATGAGCACAAAGTATTGGGGATTGTACATAAATTTCAGTCTCGTAGGAGCCCAATCTAGGCTGCATTGCTATCCTTCAAATGACACACTTGAACAGTTGAGCTACTTGACCTTAAGTCTTAACGTAGGCAGGTAGCCACTTGCTATGAGCTTCACAGGCGTGGTTAGTCTAAGCTACAAATGACTGTTAATAGCATACATAGATTTTATTTAATTTTATAATAAAAACCTATGATTTTTTTTTGCATAAAAAGATAGAACACCACAAAGACACCACATTGAATAATATTCCATATATGAAATATTACACATCAAGCAAGTGGAAGAATACCCTGCAATATACTACATTCTTGACATTAAATAACTCAACTACTATTCAAAAAAAAAAAAAAAAAAAAAAAAAAAACTCAACTATACATGTTAGCTAGTATGCTACAATCAACATGTCATGCCAATTTTTTTTAAAGGGTTGGCATGGCTGTTAGCTTGTCACACAACAAATAAATCTAATTTGCAATTTGAACCCACAACAAACTATAACTCCACTTGTTTATAAGCGTAACCTCATTTTCTATTTGAGTAATTCATTTTTCCTGTTGATTGAGTAACCTTATCCATCTAAGTAACCAATTTGTTCACCGTCTTTACTCCTATTACTCAATTAATTTTCTATCAATGTGAAATGGCCACTTTGGATAAGAGGGAAGGGAAAGGGAGGTGGAGGTCGAGGGAGGGAGAAGGTGAATTATCATTTTGCTTCCAAATCTCTCAAACAACATAAGGATTTTGTTTATTAAAATAGGAAGGAAAATGGATCCTTCCGATCCCCTCCCTATTTCTCCTTGCATTAGATATCTAATCCGTGGTTTATACACACGGGTGTACAGTGCTCATCGTACACCCGGATAAATAAAAAAAAGGCGGAAAGAACATCCTGTGTTTCATAAAGAACATACATGTATTTGACAAAGAACATGTTTGTATTTGACAAAAACATGCATTACCAAAGAACATAAAGATATAATAAAAAGAACGAGATAAAAACTTGATAAAATTTTCTGAAAAATTACACATTATTAACGGGAAAAATTTAGAGGTGATAAAAAATCGAGTAGGGCCGGGCCATATCATAATTTCTTGTGCCCAAACCCGTAGAAAAGTAGCGGGTTTTCGGGCTTTTTTCGAACCCGGTTCGAGTTTTAACTAAAAATGTATTTTTAGGTTTGCCCAAACCCACCCTATTTCGGGCCGGATCGGGTCGGGATGCGAGTCATGCCAATGTTGATCACCTCTTTAAAAATCCTTACCAAAGATATCATTTCCCCAAAAAATAGTTTTCTATCTCTCCAAAAAAAATTCAACTTCCCATAATAATTTAGTTTTTTTTTACTCTAACATTATTTTCAATTAAAAATAATTTAAGATTTCAATATCAAATTTCAAAATACGATATGTTAAAAGAACATAATTTATATTGTAAAGTACATATAGTTAATACCTAAATAACACACTAATCAAACTCAAAGAATATACGATAATAAAAGTAATTTAAATATGACATATGATAATAAAAAAATAGAATTTGGGAGTCACTATGACCTTAAAGAACATACACGCCAAATTCAAAGAACATACTTTGTATTATTAAACCCAAAAAAAATATATGTTTATCAACATATGTTAAATAACATAAGTTATAATATAAAGAACATATAATTTTACTCAAAGAACACACTGATCACACTCAAAAAACATATTAAAGGTATGTTCTTTGTCAAACATAGGTATGTTCTTTATCAAACACTATATGTTCTTTCCGCCTTTTTTTGTTTACCCGGGTGCACCATGAGCATGGTGCACCCGGGTGTATTATCTAATTTTCATTAGATATCTAATTAAAAGATGGTGTATCTAGGGGTGTCAACGGAGCGGGGCGGGGCGGATTTTGGCATTCCCATCCCCATCCCCGCCTCACATTTTCATCCCCATCCCCATCCCCATCCCCATGTCGGGTCTGAAAATAATCCCCGTCCCCGCCCCGGCGGGTCCAACTCTAAAACCACCCCCGCCCCATCCCCGTCCCCGCCCCATACCCGCCAAACCCCCGCCCCATCCCCGCCAATTCCCCGCCCCATACCCGCCAACTTAGTATTGAGAAAAGCAACTGTCTTTCAAGTTTCAAGTGTCAACTGAAACCCTGCAGACTTCATAGTAGACTAATGAAAAAAGTAGCAGTGCATACAAATCCCATTAACTCAAATCCAACAAAAACCACTGCAAGATCAACCATTTTCATAAAGTGCAACACCTTAGGCATACATACTACATTACTACATATTAAAAAACTTAAAATTAGTAGTACATAAGAGAAAAAAAAAAACACTAACTCCAAATTGTCCAAAGTCCAAATATTAAAAATAACTACAAGTCTACAAATATTCAAATACATAACAAGAAATTCATTAGGCCTTGAATTATTCGGTGCAAAGTCCACTTGTTCCAGAATCAATATCACATGTTTCAAATCCTTCCTCTAATTCTCCCACTAATTTAGCATATTCATCATCCTTAAATTCTCCACAATCTGCAAATACAATGTGAATTAATTAAAATAAATAAATAAATAATATTATTAATTAAATAAAATTTTATTTTAGCTATTTACTTTTAGAAGCAGCCCATATCCAATTTTGAGTACACATCAAAGCTTCTACAGCTTCCGGTAAAAGCCGACTACGATAAGGATTAAGAACCCGACCACTTGTGCTAAATGCGGACTCTAATGCAACAGTAGAAACAGGAATGCTCAATATATCTCGTGCTATTTGCTGAAGAATGGGATATGTGCCTCCATTTGTCTTCCACCAATTAAGAATATCAAAATCTTGGACTAGAGGCACATTAGCAGCATCTAAATACTTATCCAAATCTGATATATCATGACTTGAGTCCTTATCTTGTTGTAAAAATTCAGCAAATTCTTGCATAAAGGTCTCTTCATTGGATTTGCTACTACTACCCAAATCAAAAGCTTGTTGGTTGCTACTACCTTGAGTTTTACCCATCTTAGACCCATATTCATCAACCAATCTTCGTAGAAGATCACTAATTCTACTAACCTCAATTTCAAAGTCATGCTCATCAAAAAATTTTGCAAAATAAAAGCGAATAAGAGCCATTTTGTATCTAGGATCTAGTATTGTTGCCACTCCCATTAAGCCATTCACACTAGCCCAATACTTGTTATATTTTTGTAACATAATGTCGGCCATTTTCCTTACATAATCATGAGGAGATAAAAGCCAACCAGAAATAGCAATTCTCAAAGCACAAATTTTAGGAAAATAAAGATTGGCCGAAGGGTAATTTGTTCCTGAAAAATTAAGGGTAGTTTTACTAAACACTTCCAAATGTTCACATATTTTCTCAACTTTTTCCCAATCTTCAGGGGTCGGTGGATTCTTATATAAATTATTACGAGCACTTAAAACAACAAACACTTCTTTATAACTAGTAGCAATAGAAAGCATTTCATAAGTAGAATTCCACCGGGTTTTGCAATCAAGTGCTAACTTTCTACTACACTCAGGAGTTATTTGCTTAGCCACTTGTTCAAACCTTTGTACTCTCTTATCAGAAGCAGTCCAAAACACAACACTATCCCTAATTCTTTGAACACCATTTGATACCACAACACTTAAACCATCTTGAACAATCAAATTTAATATGTGAGCACAACAACGCATATGAAAAAAATCACCTCGCAATAAAAGTGAGCCATATGGAAACACTCCTTTCAAAATTTCCATCATTGCATCATTAGTTGAACAATTATCCACGGTTATAGAAGACAACCTAAGATCAAGATTCCATGATTGAATGCTTTCTTTCAAAGCATCAGCAAGAACCTCAGCAGTATGAGGGGCGGGGACATATAAAAACCTACCAAAACCAATGAAAATAACATATATTATTTGTCTATTCAATACTATTGTGGATATATGGGCTCATTATTATCATCCATCATCACAACTTATAATTCTTATGATTTTAAAATTCACACAAAAAACTATAGCAATACAAAGACAACCAAAAAAAATAAACAAGTTATAAGTAACCAGAAAACAATACCTTATGATCCGACTTTGCAACTTCCATGTATTATCAACAAAATGTGAGGTGACCGCCATATAACCTTTTCTCTGGTTGTCAGCTGTCCACATGTCAGTAGTTAAGGCAATCTTACCCTTTGCTTTCCTCAACAAGGTTGCAACATTCTCCTTCTCAAGCTCATATCTTTTCATAATATCTTTTCTAGTTGTGTTGCGAGACGACACTTTAAATCCAGGTTGGAGTGTCTTGCTATATTTTCTAAAACCAATATGCTCAACCATGCTAATTGGATACTCATGCAAAATAATCATCTCTGCCAAGTCTCTTCTTCCATCTTCTTGGTGGAATTCGTAAGGAGCCAATGTCATCGTGTCATTCTTATCATTCAAGTTTTTTTTTGTACCAAACATTCTTGTTTGTCGAAGATCTTGACATACTCTCTTTGGACATATTTTTATATGATCTTTCAAATGAGTAGTTCCTGCTTTTGACCCACCAGCAAGTAGCTTGGAGCAATGGTTGCACTCAGCTTTTATCACATCCCCAACTCTCTTTCTCTTAAAATCAGACCACACTGCCGAAGTATGCCTACTAGTAATTGGTAGGAGAGAAGGATCGGAATTAGTCTCTAGAGGACTTTCATCATCATCTATTGCAATTGGAGTATTACTAGCGGAAGTGGGAACACTAGCGTTATTCTCATTTTTAGATGTCATTCTCCCTGTAAAAATTAAATAAAGACAATTAATGCACTAGACATATTGACTACAGTATTGAACACATTTGACATCTCAGAAACAGCAATAATAAATTAATAATAGCAAATTAGCAATGCACAGCAACAAAGGCAGATCATGCTTCTAGCACAGCTATCGGAAGATATCATGTTGAAAGGCCTATCAATGCATAATGTCATACTGTAACTGCTATGTTAATATATTGTTGCTGCTGCATAACCAGTTAACCACCTATCACACTAAGTCACTAACCACTACATACAGGCTACAACACAAATTTATAGCCACTGAGCCACGTAGATACAAACACAAACGCTCACACACACCATGCATCATTCATAGGCTAATAGCCAGTCATTTTCAATTCAAATTTAGTAAAAAATCAGTATATATATTTTGAACTACAATACAATCAAAATTCATCCCCACTTAATTATATACAAAGTGTGTTAAGTTAGTGTGTACTACAGAGATTGATCTTAGTAAATGAATTAAATAAAAAAAAAAAGTAACTAAATCTATAATGATCGAATAAGTGGTCAAATGACATAATCCGAATTTAGTTATCACACATAAGCTAAAATAATAAACATAAACTTATAAGTCTGAAATTAATGAGAAAAACTAATTACAATCTATACATATTTCGACTTTATTATATCTATTTTGTGAAATTAAATATAAAAAAACAAGTAATGAAAATTCTAGATTAAAACCCTAATAAACTAAAAAATTTGGAGGTCATCATATTCATACATTATCATACAAAAAATAACAGTAATCAACTACATTGCATTAGATTGAAAGTATCATACAAATATAACACGAAACCCTAGCTCAATCAAATGAAATATTGAAAACCGCAATCGAACAAATCATAAATAAAAGACGAATCACATACTTTCAATCGAAAACCCAATTAAGAAATTCTTAATTGAACATATTGAATTAAGAAAATTCAAAGATAATAATGCGAAAACGTTTACCTAAATTGAATGAGTTGCAGCCTTGCAAGATCGAGGTTGAAGAAGAAGGATCGAAGAGATTTGATTGCAGACGAGGACCACGAGGTTGAAGAAGAAGGATCGAAGAGAGGGGTTTGAGGCTTGAGGAAGAGATTCAGCGCTTGAGACAGTGAGGCAGTGAGACTGTGAGAGGAGAGAGTGAGGCAGTGAGGCTAGGGTTTTTGTTTTGAGAATGAGTGAATGACTGAATGAGGGTGGGTATTGGGTAAGTGGGTTACTGGGTTAGATTTCATTAGGTGTAGTAATTATTTTTTTTTAATCGTATTATGCTATGGCTAGTCGGGTCTTATGCGGGTATGGGGTGGGTATAAAGCGGGTATGGGTCGGGTATGGAGTGGGTCAGGCGGGGCGGGTACGGGGTGGGTCAGGCGGGGCGGGGCGGGGCGGGTATGGGGCGGGTCTGGGCGGGGCGGGTATTACATAACAACCATCCCCGCCCCATCACCCATGGCGGGTATGGATTTTAGACCCATCCCCGCCCCGCGACCCGCCAAAGCTAGACCCATCCCCGCCCCATCGGGGCGGGGATGGGGCGGGTCTCCTACTAGACCCGCCCCAGTGACATCCCTAGGTGTATCCCTCCGTTTTTGTTTTCTTCCTTTTCTTTTATTTTTCTCTACCAAACATAATATTACTTTTTATTTTGAAAAAAAATGAAAAAAATATGCAAAAATGGAATTAAGTCTATACATAGGCCCGTTGGGCTATGAGTACCTTCATCTCCAGTGCTTAGATCTCAGCCCAAAAAAGAAAATAAATAATGTAATAAAATAAAAATGAGAAAGCAAAAATATTTTAAATAAAAAAGAAAAAAAAGGAATTTTTTTAACGAAATATAGCGCACTTGCACTAACGAAGCACATTTTAACACGATCTCTCAATTTTTTTTTTTCCATTTCTCCTCTTCACTTCTCTCCCTTCGTAAAACTCTTCAGATTTGCCAAGTCGAATTTGAATCGCCATTGTTGATCTTCGTTAAGCTTTCTCTCTCCTCTTTTTGGCAAGTAAGGCCTGCGATCAACTCTTCTACTTGACTTTCAACGCTTTCTCTCTCTAATTCAATTCAATTTTCCACATTCAAATCAACATTTTTCCTTTTTTTTTTTTTTTTTTTTTTTTTTTGCAGAATCTTTTGAATTTTTTCGACATTTCGATCTCGTAAAAATGGCGGCGGCGGCGGCGAATGCGCCGATCGTGATGAAGGAAGTTTTCACGGTTAGTTTTTTCTCAAATTATATTCGGATCCATGCTTTGATTTTGATTTCATGCTGTAATTTTTGGTGATTTGATGATTTTGTGAAGTTTGGATTGAGTAATACTTATACATTTTGAAAAATTAGCTGGATCTGAATTGAATGTTATTTTATGAATGTGTAATTTGACGATTTGATGAAATGCGAGTTTTAGACTGCAAATTATGGATCAGCGAGATTGATTTTGTTGTAATTTGAAATGAGAGGATTGATCGAAGTGGTAATCATGTTGTTTCGTCGATGCAGTTGCCTAGCATTGGAATTAATCAACAATTCATCACATTTAACAATGTGACCATGGAATCAGAGAAGTATATATGTGTGCGGGAAACATCTCCGCAAAATAGTGTTGTCATTGTTGATATGAGCATGCCGATGCAACCTTTAAGAAGGCCTATCACCGCGGATTCTGCTCTCATGAATCCGAATACTCGAATCCTTGCTTTGAAAGGTAGGGGAGATAGTTAATTATTTATGCAATTTTGCATTATTTATAGCAAGTATATTTGTTTGGTGGTCACCTAGCTATTCTTCATCTATTATTGTTGATTTTTCGTGGGGACTGAAATTTAAAAAGGATAGATCCATGATGATGCTCACTCCTTTAAACTATACATTTTTCCTTTTTCTAATATGGTTTGAAATTTTAGGTCATTGCCCCACTTTCTAAATGTACTAAGTTATACGTTGAACTATCTTATCCTTGATGTTAACCGTAACCAAGAATGACACGTCAAAGAATATAAAATATTATTCCAAGATGCATGTGTATATGTACCTCATAATTTGTATTGATGGTTTTTCTTGTTGCTATGAGGATGATTATCATGAGAGTTTTGATTTGTCATTAAAGTTCATCTATTTTATTGTATTTATATTCTAGAAGAGACCTACTGGCCAACTCATTAGACAGGGGTGGGGCAAAGTACTCCTTGCATTTCATATTGTCCACTTAAGATTTGGCACATGTTTTATGAAATCTAGTCGAGGGTAGGCCATTAGAAACTACTTAGACATGATTGAAAAATGTTGGAATTAGATGGAGAAAGAAATAGTAGTAAGAGATTGTGTAGTAATTCCCGAGAAACGGTTGATCTAATTGAGGGAAAGAAAAGTGAAAGTGGAGCCCAAGTTTACATGTGTTGGGGACTGGGGAGGAGTTTATCCTTCTATTGATATATAATAATAAAATGAGATGAGCCAAAATGGTTGAGTGGAAGATAATTGGAGGGACCAAGGTAGTAGTATAGACATATGGTGCGTGAACTCTAAATGCAAGTTCGTTTAGAGAATTGAGATAGGTGAGACCCTTTAGTGGCTTATTACTTGGCTATTTGATTTTGTGAATTAAACAGTTTCAAACCCATGCTCTATGAGTCTATGATGTTGATACTTCAACTGTGACTAAGTAATATGGTTTTGTTTTTTGTATAATTGGGAAATGTGGTACATGGAGATGTACCTTTGCCAGATACTTCAAGCTTTAAAGTTTTAACCATTCCCTATAGCATAGTTTTTTTTTTTTTTTTTTTCATATATATATATATATATTCTAGTCATCCCATATTTGATTTCCAATTTTCTCATTTAGTTATACCAAATGGATTTTTTTAGCCATCTTGTGATAATAAGACTGCTTCATTATTTTTGGAAGCTTAGGAAGACCAACATCTCATACTGTCATACCTGCAAACTGAAAGACTTTGGCTTAATATGAATTATGAGTGGTGTATATGAAGGATTGGCTATAAATAAGAGATTCTTTATAGTCAGGAACATGTGGCTATGTGCTTTAATGGTCTTATTAACGAAATCTTCAAGTTTATTTTTAGGATTCTTCTTTGATTAAGGTATATTTGAGTGTAAAAACTGAGCTAACTGATGATTTGAAGAGTTGATTCAAGGATATTGATATGTGACATTTCCATATGAGGACTCAATTGTACAGTCAATGCTGAAGTGTAAATTTGATCTCAAAAGTGGTTATGTTTTTACCTCCGTGCTTCAATGGTAACCGAAATAAGTTTCTTGGATAGTCTTTGTGAATCTATGAAAAGGAGTTTTTGAGTGCTGGAAATTGCTATTATGAGGTGACTGAGGAAGTAATGAATGAGACGAGGAACAAAGATATGAAGGCATGGGGATTTATGTTCTCCATGAGTATAATGTGGTGCTTTTTGATATTTGAACAAAGATACCTAATGATTTTAGTTTGAGTTATTTTTTTTCAACGAGTCTGTGGCAAGGTTTGGGAACTGTTGCGAAGACTTCAAAGCATGTCCGGGTCTTAATTTGGTCTTATCTGTAATTTACAGAAGCTAATACAACAATTAGCTCATGATTTTGGTCTTAATATGGCAATTATAGTTGACTAATATTGAGAAACAAGAAGTTTAAAATGCCTTACTTCAAAAATTTTATGTAGCCAAATGAGCTGGGCTAATAGCTGTTTGATCACCTTTGATGGATGATGAAATATCTCATCAACTGTTCTGCAATGGAAATAATGCCTCTTATGATTTTTTATGGCTTTTTGTGTAGCTCTACTTCCTGGTACCACTCAAGACCACTTGCAGATATTTAATATTGAAACAAAAACGAAGGTGAAATCACACCAAATGCCTGAGCAGGTAAATTTCTAAAACCATATTTAAGGAGTAATGCTTGGTTATATCGGGCTATACTGCATTTCCCTTTTAATTCTATCCATTGCTTCATT